GAAGATGGCTCTAGATACATTGTACTGTTGATAAAATAAGCTTTTTGGATTGAGATAACATTATTGTATAAATGCTAAACCTAAGATACGCGTATGTTTGTGTAGAACACGTTTTATCTGTAGAAACCTTCGACTTAACCTTTAAACTTGTCTTCTTTTTCTCAAAATCTTTAAAGGGAATTTCAAGATTAACTAACTACTTTGACTATGACTATCAAACAAACGCATCATTGTCCAATGGTCAAAAGTTTAAAAGATTGTACCAGTCATGTATGAGAATTAAAATTAATTAAAATTTATATAAATTGATGGATGCAAAACTGATCGGAAGTTCTAGAATATATATGTTATAAGGAAGATTGTTTATAGTGTATGTAGTACTCATTCCGTGTGTTAAGTGAAAAACTGCGTCGTGAAAACGCTCATCAGAATCATGTATATTGCGTATATTTTAGTTTGATTGACTAATCATAGTTTGTAATAAAAAATAGGATATATATACAAATTTATGATGATACAGCATACGACAAAAAAAAACATTACGGTTTTTTTTTTTTTTCCTAAGATTATACTGCATATATTCCTTTTTCACGAAGAAAGGCATATGATATTACTTATAGTTAACATGCATAAATGCATGATTTGAGTTTCCAGAGAGTTCAAATAAATGAATGACAAATAAAAGTACGTATGTGCCGTGTTAAAGCCAGACATAAAATATATCATAGGAAGGAATACAATTATGGCCTAATTATCTGCCTAACTCTCGCTTTAACTAGCCAAGCATATATCCTTAGGGAGATATTTCAGATCAATGGTCACGAAAAGAGAGGCAGATTAATCCAAGTGGCGCATAATCTGTATATTCACGAGAACCAAACATTTTTGATTAAAAAATAAAAATTGGAAGTACAAAACCAATAATTAATCATCAAAACATTCCAATTAAGCTTCAACCAAATTCTTCAAACTCTATAGCCGGTGACGTAAACAATACATTAACTTCAAATAAAATACACAAATAAATTACAATCATTTCTCTCTCTAATCAAAATCTACGCAGCTATCTTTATGATCTTGGTGACAACACGATATTTCTACAAGAAAACGAAAAAGAGAATAGAGTTTTTCTTTTGTTAGACAAAGTACAGAGAAGGAAATCATAGACAAATTTAAATATCTGATGATCAATGGACTAGTTATTCATTTTTAAATATGCCCAAAAATATAAAATACCTCGAGTGTACATCAACTAGTTCCTGTCCAGTAACTTGAGAACTGTCACACAATCAAATAAAATGTTATCTAATAATCATATCCTCACAAAATAAAAATTAATAATGTAAGTTATATATAGTAATAAACTAATAATATAACATGTTAAAAGTTTTAGAATTGGACCTGAGAAATTTGGAGGAGAGTTACTCAAGATGTACAATGCGTCACGCCAATCCTGAGGTGTTGTCTTAGAGGCCATGGCTCGACCGATTGTGACCAGAGCCAGAGGAAGACCGTCACACTTGGCTGCAACCTCCTGAGCGATTTTGGTTATGTCCGGGTGGCTCTTTACTGTCTCTTCTCCAGCATTCTTCTTAAACAAGTCCCAAGCTCTTTCCCATGGCAATTTCTCCATTTTGATCTTCGTTTGTGCTCCCATTTCACGACAAACCTCATCCGAACACGTCGTGAAAACGATCTTTGACCTGTTTTGTCCGTCCGGCAGTGGCACACCAGCTTTCACTGTCGTTTAACAAAATTCCAAACCCTAGAAATTAGTAACTCGACAAAACTTGGGTTACAAGTCATATAATTTCTTGAACTACAAGCAATCGTGTACCTAGATCGACTTTCTCCCATACGTCGTCAAGGAACAAAGCGAACCGTCTCTTGCTAAGTATCTCGAAGATCTTACCGGCTTTCTCTTCCTCTGTCTTGCTCGTCCACGACCTGTCAAGAAACCCTATCTTCTCTCGAATCGTGTCTTGAACCTTCTCAAGATTAAGATTCTTGGAAACAAAAACCCAAATCACAAAGTCAAACCCATTTGACTTATGCTGAAGCAACCTGTTGTTGACCTTTGTCAACACAGTCGTCTTCCCAACACCTTCAACGCCGTATAAACCAATAAGACCGGTGTTATCAACCGTCACACACCTCCACAATAACCCCGTAACCGCTTCCAATCCACATGTCTGATCATCTCTATCAACGGTTGAGATCATCATCGACCCACCACCACCATTATTACCAATGCCACTATTCTCAACCACCACATCGAACGTTCCTCTACTCTTTATCTCCTGAACCTCTTTTAGCTTCTTGCAAATCTTCTTGTCCATTTTGTGACAACTCATGATCATGCTCGATGATCCATTCGAAGAAGAAGATGACATTACATTCATCAACATCTCTTCTGCTTCTTTGATCGATGCATCGGCTTGTCTAAGCCAAACCTGAACTTTCTCGAGCCGCTTCAGCTTTTGTTGATCTTCGTACATTTTGACTCTTTTCATTACATTGTTGCGTAGATCCTTGAGCTCTTCCGTAGCGGTTTTCAGCTTCTTGGCGTTATTGTTATCTTTTCCGACGTAGATGCATCGTGTAACCATACTCTTGAAATCTTTACCCATTGTTTCGATCTCTTTTGTTTTCTTTGAATAATTAATCTCTCAGAGAACATATAATCATATGTATATATAGTATTGATGATCGTGTTAGCCATGGCTTGTATTGTACTACTGACCCGCACGTTGTGTTTTATTAATTTATTCAAGTGTTGGTTGTTGAAGGATCTTTTGCATTTGATTATCCTATTTCTCTATTCGGTCGTGTGATTAAGTGATTAATGTTGAGTTGAATATTTGACCAGCTACTTTGACAATAATATGCAAAAATAAACAATATACTGACTTTACTAAATAAAGAATAAAACTAAAAATATTGTTCTTTTATCAAAAACTTAAAATTAAAATCTTTTTGTTGTCTATCTCCTGTTATGGTTATCATGTCATTAGACTCACAATCCTGCATCAACAATTTTAGTGGGAAAATGTAAAAAGTGAGATTTTACAATCTCATATAGCTTCTAACTTAAAGAAACTGATAGTTTTGGTGATTTTCTCAATGGTTAATCTATCGCAAAAATAAATTAAATTTACAGAGGAGGATGGTTTGACATTTTGGTCTGATTACAAATATTTAAGGAGAGTAGCAAAGTATCGAGATTGAATCATGCATCATTTATTTGCATACAGTGCTGTTAAAATTTAGTATTTCATTATGTAAACATTTCTAGGATCGACTTTATATTACGACCAAGTGCAAGTTAACTCATTTTTTTATGTTTATAAATGGATCATTTGCAATAATAACAAAAAAAAAATTATAATTAGGAATCTAGAAAAACTTTAGAGAAAGATAGGAAGAAATAGTAAAAAAAAAAGAAAATTTTGATTAGTTTGTATATTATAGTTTTTTTTTGTTTTCTAGCTAATAATCCCTTTATAAATTTGGAGGGCGAAAAAAACAGTTAGAAACTTAGAAAATTGGATACACACAGAGAAATTCAGCTGCATACTGGGCCTACTACATTTTTCGGCCCAACACGTACAAGTACAATTCCACCGCCGT